CTCTGGATGTGGTTTAAAGATAAATATGTGTATTAAACCTACTTTTCTCTTTGTGTGTGTGTGTGTGTGTGTGTGTGTGTGTGTGTGTGTGTGTGGTTTTCCATTAGAGAAGACATTTCCTTGTTGGGGAAATGCAGGATATTAAGATCACACTGAAAACTTATGGCTCACCACTCTCCATTCCTACTTCATGTTTCAAAAGTATGGAACTGTTTCAAAGTTCCCTAAGATACTAGCATCTTATTCCTGTCTGAAGTTATGCATACATTTCTTCTTCCCCTTGTAATGTTCTATCCTCTCTTCCTGGGTTACTTCTTAACTTTGAAATCTTCAGTCTGTGTCTCCTCCATCAGGAAGCTCACCTTCCTTATGCTGAAAACCTCCACTGTTTTTACGTGGGAGCTTCCCAGATAACAGATATATATTTCAAATGACACTTCTAGTTCATGGTACCATATTGAAAATTATTTTAAAAGCTATACTCTTCCTAGTGAGTAAACTTCATGTCTGTCTGGTTAGAGGATACTCTTTCTTTCTTTCTTTCTTTCTTTCTTTCTTTCTTTCTTTCTTTCTTTCTTCCTTCCTTCCTTCCTTCCTTCCTTCCTTTCTATCACTGTGTTCCCATGACCTCATACATTCCCTGACCCATAGTAGTTGTTTAGGAAATATTGGATGAATTTAAAAATTAAATGATGGATATTGCTCATCTCAATGAGAGAATTATATTTTATTTAAAATCCAAAATATATTTATTAACAATCACAATTTAACAGAGAATTTAATGTCCTAACCATGATTCCTCCTCCATCTTTCCAGTTCTCTTTAACTTAAATAAGAACCTGGTTTATGCATGCAGTTTCTACTAGCTGAGGAGTCAGTGTAATAGAAATGCATTAATGCAAGCGGGATTTGCCTAGACATCAATAAACTCAAAAGGCTCCCTGTGGGCTACTTGTAGTGTCAATAAAGGCTAGTAATTACTTGCTCCTTTGAGCATTTTAGATCCAACCCCTTAGTTCATTCTATTGCACAGAAGCAGCTGTAGAACTCAGAGATTCTTAACTTCCTAAACCCTGGGTGGAGAATGGCAAGCACTGGCTGAAACTTCCTCAGGTTTTAAGAGTCCCTCACCCCCATCTTACTCCTTTCACATCACTGCCCTTCCCCACTTGCTAAGCAAGAGCTCTACCACAGATCCATATCCCTAAGACCTGGGAATTTTAAATAAGGTGATGGTTATTGTTATTTCAAGCTGCCTGGGAAGGAGTAACTTAGAACATTCTCTCTTACCCTTTGCTGGTAAAGGAGTGGTGGTGGGCCTCACCATTTCCAGTCAGGGAAACATGTAAATTCCAATGACCAAGAATGACCTGCATCTGCCTGACAATACAATAGAAGAAGGAAAATGCTAGGAAGTAGAACAGAGTGAAAACCAGAGATCAAATAAGTACCAATGAGACCTTCAGAGAGGATCTTGCCCTTCCTTCTTTCCTTCCTAGCTTTCCTCTTTCCCGAGACTGTGAATGTGTTTGTAGGTGTGCTTGATTTTAAGATAGGTCCGTGGTAGCTACTTTTTCTCAGATATCTGTTTCTCYGCAGTGAAGTTTAAGTGGTATTGGAGTTTCCTTGACTTCTTCGTGAGGAGTTTCCAAATGACAATAGGAGAGTCACATAAATATCTATAAAGTTTCTAATTACAGCTCCGTCATCACTTGTTTCTTGAAGATCTTGAACCAGGGTCTTCTTCGTCCACCACTTATTCTGAGTGATCTAATTGAGTCATTTGTATTTGTGATTTCTACATCGAGCTGTGCATGGAATAATAAGCGTTCGTCCTCCTTGTTCCTCTTTACTGCTGGGTTTCACACTACCTCAAAGGGCGTGTATTGCCAGTGCGAGTGTGTATGTTTAGCAAAGACGCTTGGAAGAAGCTATCCCTCTGGCAAATTCCCCTTCCCCCCCCCCTCCCCCCAGCCCAGCTCTATTCACAGCATTCTTGGGCGGGACGCTTTCCTAATCTCTTCTCTGTAAAGGTGCTCTCTCCATGTAAATGCCAACACACTAACATCCGGATCCAGAGAGCTGACGCTTTGGTGTCCTAGGATGTAGTGCGCGTATGTCTSTGTGTGTGTGTGTGTGTGTGTGTGTGTGTGTGTGTGTGTGTGTACGAGAGCGCGCGCGCAGACGACAGTGAGCTTCCTCTCCAGGCACAGTGCAGACAGAGCCCGCGACATTACTATCCAAGCAGCCTCCAGCAACGCGAGGCAACTGCAGCCTCCGCCCACTCAGCCCAGTGATTGGCTGGTTTTGCTCATCATTTCCCTGCTAGCAAGAGGGAAGGGCCAGTGACGCCCCCGAACCCAGCTGCAGAAGCCGCCGCCACCTCCAATGCACAAGGTGTCACATCTGAAAAGAAACCTGAGCCCCAGGGAGGCGGGCGCGGAGCGACCCAGGCCGGGCTGGCGCTAACCGCGCGGGAGGGCTCCTGGCAGCGCTGGAGGACCAGAGGCAGCTCCGTCGCAGAGGACCTTAGCGACCTGATCCTAGGATCCCGGCTCCACGCTCTCCTCGCATTTTTCAGACCCCCCCACCACCGGTCTAATTCTCCAAAACGGAGCCTTTATATCGAGAGAAGGTGCGGGAGCTGGGGCAACCAGGACTTTCGCGGGCACCCAAGATGCGCTCCATTAGGAAGAGGTGGACGATCTGCACTATAAGTCTGCTCCTGATCTTTTATAAGACAAAAGAAATAGCAAGAACTGAGGAGCACCAGGAGACGCAACTCATTGGGTAAATTCAAAGCTTCATTTCAGGATATGACTCAAAGTCAAGCCATAAATGAAATGTGCATAGAGTGATGGTTGTGATACTGTGAGTATTTGAGCTTGTGTGTGGCTTCTCTCGTGATTTAAATAACAAAGGCTGTTGTTGAGGTGTGTGTGTGCTTCTCTACGCTGTTCCCAGTAGGAGTTCAACTTGCCCTGTGCGGTAGTGACAATTGTTATCCAGTGCCGGTTGTTCGCACGCCAAAGGAGAAGTCACTGCAGAAGTGTCAACAAAGAACGTGCCCTTGTCCTTTTAATCCGTGGGCAAAACTCAAGCGAGATATCTTTATTCACCAAACGGTTGCCCTTCCTTCTTTCTCTGCCCTGTCACTCTAGGGAGATACTAGAGAAAGCTGGTTTCCTGAAAAGATGAAGTTTAAAGCCCACTAAGGAGGAAATCCGTCTTTTCTTTTTCTTTCCCCCCCATTTTTTTTTTTGACATTGGACAGATTTGTGCATTTTAATTTGAATTAGTAAATCCAGCACCACCACGTAAAACGCATAAGCGTCCTGGATAGAGTTTTAGAAGGAAACTGGGTACTTCATCTTAACAGGCAATATTTCTGTTATTTCTTTAGTTTGTCTCTAATTGAGTTCAGAATCTCCCCACCCCATTAAGTTCTCAAAATATCACACTTCCTTCCTCCCTCCTTCTGGGCTCTGTGCCTTTGAAGTTAACCCAGGGGGTGGTGCAACTTTGTGTTGGGGACRTAGCTTGGAAGCGATTTTCTGAGGATGTGAACCTGGTTGTCAACTCTGTTCAAAGTCTTGTTTCGGAAATCCTCCCTAGTCCGGAGGCGTCCACTGTGGGAAACTGTACTCTAGCAAAGATTCCCTTCTGGTTTTTATTTTCTCTGACACTATTGAAATTGAGTGTCACTATTGAATGAGAACTTGCCTGTGTGTGTGTGTGTGTGTGTGTGTGTGTGTGTGTGTGTTTATAGCACTGCCAAAATATACTTTTAAACTCCATGCAGCCCATTTAATATTCCTGTTCCTCCCTAATTAACGAGTATTTAAGTGCGAAACGCACATTTATCCTTACAGAAGGCATTGCTATTCTATAAAAACCGGGATAACAGTAGTACAGCCAAAAGAGACTGGAAAAAAAGAAAAGCAAATAAAGAATGGGCTGAATGGTTGTTATACATCAACAAATCTGTTCAGGATCTGTTCATTCGGGGAAAGAAAAAAAAATTAAATAAAAGAACCCTCTGAGATCCTTTACACAGGAGTGGGTGGTTTGAAAATTCAGTCATGACAGTTGTCAGAAAGGAGGACTTTGGTGTCTTAGGACTGGGCGGCAGGRTGAGCAATCTCTGGTGACCTGTGCTTGCCAGGCAGACAAAGAGGTCTTTAGCAAGGTGGTGATCCCGCGCGTGGGGGCTCTGATAATAGGCGGAGGCTGGAGTGTGAAGGTCGAGGCTCTTTGTTCCTTTCCACGTTGGTGGGCTCTGAAGATAAGTCTGTGTGGAGACAAAGCGGCCAAGCCCAGAAAGGACTCTGAGGGTTTGGGACCTTGGATGGCAACCCTGGAGAGCAGGAGTGGGAGGRGTGGATGTGGGAAGGGGGGCGCCAGATCCTAAGGAAGCGTCCTTTCTGAGCCGCCCTAAACTGCAGGCGGGAAGAAGGAACGCGCTATCAGTCCTTTTAGGGGAATTGACAGACCCATTACAGTTCATATGACACAGGAGACGTTTCTTCTGTGGCCCTTTACTGGATGCTGAGGGCAGTGGACGCAGCCCTGGGCGCTGAGGAAGAAGAGGCGGGCACCGGCGCAGCGGTTGGGCTAGCCGGACTGAGCTCTTCTCCGCACCCTTTCCAAGCAGAGCTGAGGGTTCAGTTCTTTGAGAAGGCATGGGGCGGGCACTTGAGWTAACCAAACAGGAAGAGTGGTGCGCATTGGATCTGTCCCCAGTGAGCTAGCAGCCAGGGTAGGAGAATCAGCGAGAAAACGGGGGAAATCTGTTTTTGCAGGGATCAGACTCCCTTCGTTTAAAACAACAACAAAAAAATCACTTTCAGTGCTTGGCGGCAACCCATTCCGTCCTCCTTAATTAAAACCTGCAATTTCAGTCCCTTGGGGCAAGGCAAAAAGCTGGCCGCAGGCGTCACTCTCACACCCCTGGCCCTAAGTGTCCCGGCTGCTGTGCCGCCTGGGCTTCCTGCCCCAGACGTWGCTCTGAGCAATTCCAGAACGGTAGTTAGTGTCCCTGAGCGCCCATTGCCTTTTCCCCAGAAGGAAACGTTCAGTAGAAAAGCTCGTGATACAAACTCGTGGTTTTCTTTCAAATCCCAAAGAGTGCTTCTGGTAGCGGAGTTGACTCATCAGACTATCTAATAATGTCATTGACTCTTTTTACTCACGTCTTGAGGGGAGGCCGGGCTTTATTTTATTTTTTAAATGAGTTTAAACTAAACTGGATGTTGGTGCCAAAAGCTCAGATCAGTACTTAATTTCAAAGTAAAGTAACAGTTTCTGGCCTTTGGGGGGCACTGCGTCCCTTGCAGGTGGGCAGTAGTTGCAGTTACAGGAGTCCCATAGCCCTTTAATATTACAACATCCCACCAAATATATATTTAGGTTTCCTGCTACCATTCCCCCCCCCCCCCCCCCCCCCCCCCCGCCACCCACAGGCAAGCATCTATTCGACCCCTTTCCTCTTTTAACGGAGTCCCATCTAGAGATAACGTAGCATTACTCTCCTTGAGCAGTCATTCTCTGCAGAGGGCAAAAGAAGACCAGCACAACTTTTCGATTAAACATCCACGTTTTCATATGTCCAAAGGAACACTAGGAGTATGTTTTTAATAAGGAATTATTCTAGAATAGGTCAAGTGATAAAAGAACTTATGTGATTGATTAACTCAAAGAATTGCAAAGAACTCATGTGATTGTTATAACTTAATAAAGTTTAAGTCAAAAGGCATTGGTTATATTAGTATTCTAGCCTTGACAGGCTTCTACCCCGCCCTCCCCCCCACACACACCTTAATGGCACTGAAAGTTGTGGGGTAATATGACTCCCACAGGTAAAATACATGATATGCTCCTTTAATGTGACAAAAACTGTAACAAACTTTAATGTGATATAGATGTTTGATTGTTATACTTAAAACTTGCTACACATGATTTTCCTGGTTGACCACAAAAGACACTTTAACTTACATTTCTTATCTGGAGATTTCCTTTATAATAGGCTTATTACTGAGGTTATATTACTAAGTTATCAAACATATTGTGAAATTGGTGATAAAATTGATGGTGAAGACAAGTATTCAGAGTATTAYTATTGTCAGCCAAGGTAGTTTCAATTTATTCTAGGGTAGAATATACTCTTGTAAATTAGGAATTCTAGAATTTGCACTTACTTCCCATGTTACATTTGCAATTCTGCCAAAACCCATAAGCAATAAGTTAAGTAGAACATCTCATCTTTATTTTCAGTTGTTTGGTACCTATGTAATAACTAAAAACCCCAAATTGCCTGCTGTTTGTGTTCAACCTTAGTTTGATGTGAGTTCTTTTCTTTTAAATGACTTTTAAAACTTTAAATTAGGGAGGAAGTTTAGCCTAGCCCTAAGGGAAAATATTCATTTTGAAACCAAGTTATGAAGAGTTTCATCAGGCTTGAATGYAGGGCTTTGGGGATCAAGTTTCCAGAAAAGAATTAACTCATATTTGTTATGAACTGCAGAACGAAAATGGATAAATTGTGGTAAAGCCTGGAAATTCATATCAAAAGAGAAAAAAAAATATTTTAGATCCTAGGTAACAAAATAATGATTAGTTTAATCTTAGAGATGACTGTCTTCCTGGGTTTTTTTCAGTTATAAGCAAGAATAATGTATAATATATTGCTTTATGAGTGATTTATCTGATGTGTTTTCTATTTTGCCTTTAAAAGCACATATTAAATATTTTGGTAGATAGTCCTATGCAAAACATGTTTGTGGTGCAGCTGTTCAAAAGTCATGTCCAATCTGGAATACGAAATAAGCAGTGGGTGGTGACATCCTTCATGCCTTACATTCACAGGAAGGAAGTCTTTTCTAAGAATGCTACCAAGGCCACACGTGAAAAATCTCTTGGGACTTATTGAACTTTATACACAAAAATTTTGCCCTAGAATCTCAGACTACACTGAGCTTGGCCATCTCCCACATGAATTCTGTTGACTATAAGGGAAAAGTGTCACTACTTGTAGATAATCCCATTCAAATTTCTTTCCCAGTCACTAACATCTGATGTTTGGCCTATCATTAGTTAAATATACACAATTCAAACAGAGCAAGATGGTAACATTTTATTCATATACAACTAATCTAAACTTTTAAAATTGCTCCTGAAATTTTGGTGGTCCTGAAAAGGCTCCATGTAAGTAAGTACCTCCTAACAATCATTGTACAGATAAAAATGCATCCACATGTCAATGCAACAGTCTCCTATAGATGTAAAAAGTGCAACCATGTGTATCTGTACTTCTATGAAGATAAGTTAGTATCAGAAATAATTATTATAATCATAGCAAACTATGTAGCATTATTCTTCTTGAGCAGTCATTCTCTGCAGAGGGCAACTAAGAAAGATGATATCGACAGGGTAATTGTTAATGAGGAAGATTGGAAAGATCCCTCCTTCCACTAAAAAAAAAAAATGATAATTTATGCTTATGCTCTTAAAGGCACATCTTCAAAAATGTAAAAGTTAACTTCTGTACATGTTCACATTATCATTTACATGCAATTATTATCATTAAACATGCAATATGAAGACTGACTTCTGGGCCAYGGAGTAGTGAAGAAAACACTCCTGTTTCCTTGCATCCTAAATGACCTCTGTAAAATGATTATTATTAGCCATGCTCAGGCATGCAAATGTATCATTTTCATCAGTAGGAGAGTTTAAATATTAATTTTTATAGAGTTCCAAATTTCACAAGGAGTGGCTTCATCTGATGCTTTGAGAYGCTTCAAATTTAAACTACATGTTTAAAAAAGAATGCAAACCAAAATACCAAACTATCAGCATCCAATTATGGAATTCATCCAACAGCTGTTACACAAGCAATGTTTCCATTGATAGTAGGAGAGGATTGCCTACATAATAAACACAAATTGAGACTTTGTGATTGAACAAATAGTCATGTTACTTTTTAACTCTGCTTTTGAGATTCTAAGAAATTTTAAAAGTGACATGTAAATAAATAAATTTACATACTGAGTTGGCTATGTCTTTTTTTATGTTCCATAATAATTGGCTTTTTCTCTGAATCTGATACATATATAAAGTGCCAAGAGAATAGCATATTGAAAAATAAGTTGTTTAGCTATGTTTAAATGATATAACTGATAACAGTGCTGTCTCTCGCCATCATCATTACCTCCAGATAATCAACACACCATGCCCCATGTGATAATAGCTGACAATACTGATTGAAAGGAGATATTTTTTTTTTTTAACACAGCAGAAATTATCAAAAGTTATGCTTACTGATGGGTTTCTTCATACTAYAATCCCTGTCTTTCAACCATTACCTACTATCAGGAAATTATCTTATTGTTGAGAAAATGTTTTGATACCAATTTTTTAAATTAGCATTTCAATAATGCTTTATAAATTACTTTTTAATACAGAGAACCACTTGTTTCTCAGTTATTCTTGTAACATCTTTCATCATGCTTATACGTTCCTTCAAAACTGCAGAAAAAATTATATCTAATTTTTCACCACTATGATTAATCAAATTAGGTACTGTTCGACTTAGACAAAATTCTAACTTTAAATTAGGTATTGTGCAACTTAGACAAAATTCTAACTTTCATAAAACTGTCATTTTTGTTTTGTTTCAGGGATGGTGAATTGTGTTTGAGCCGATCACTTGTGAATAGTTCTGATAAAATCATTCGAAAGGCTGGAACGACAATCTTCCAGCACTCTGTGGAAGGTTGGAAAATCAATTCCTCTTTGGTCCTGGAGATAAGGTGAGTTTCTTTAATAAGGCACAATTTCACATCATGTTCTCAAATAGGTTGGTCTTGCAAACTAATATGAACACTTGATTTATAGTGTAAGTATGACTACTTTAACAAAAGAGTGAYACAGCTATATTTAATGCTGTTCATTGAAGAACTTGAAACCATAAAATAAAATAATTAAATAGTCATAAATTTAAAGGTAAATATGTAAGTTTCAAATATATATGTCTTTWWATTAATGGAACAAAATAGTCAATAAGGTACAARTACTTAATATGCTTAATTACTGAGGATGGACATGTATTTTGAGAATACTGATCTCTATTTAGACCTCATTTGATCCTGTGTTTTCTCATCAAGATGTGAAAATAGGGACTACTCAACTCCTATTTTGATGATCATTAAAAATATATCTGACTTTATCTTTTAAATGGTTACATCTGTATGAGTATAAAATGGATAAAAACCAGAAAATAAACTTATAGATTCTGTTTTATTTTTTATAATACATGGTATTTTAGCCAAAATAGACTTGAAATCAAGCTTAGTTGCCTACATGTATCCATTAAGTTATTTTCTTCTATTATAATCCTGTTACTAGTAAGAAATCGCCTAATTATGGATATTACTTCTCTTTATCTTTTCATTACATTTCTGTTAGATGAAGTCTAAATTTAGAGTATTTCAGTAAATCATAACTCTAAAATTTCTAAAGAATACATCCTTTACATAATAAAACCACTGAATTTTTCTAGTATCAAATGTTTATTACACAATGGCTGAATATTAATGCAAATACTTTGTWAGTGTAGCTTCTTCATTAGAAGAAAATGGGTTGGTTTATCTACCCAGGTTTYTGCCTACTCACTTCTTGGTTCCTAACTACACACAAGGTGGACCGTAAACAAGGTTAGGGGAGAGTCTATTACAACTATCTTGAGAGTATGTATAGCCATTCATAGAATGCATTTCAGCAAAGACACTCACTGTAAGTTGAAATATACTTGAAAGAYGTCTGGAAGTTTAAAAAATGATGGCAGGGAAATGCAGAAAAAGTTAGGCAACTTTGTGTTAAAGGTTTGGAAGTGACTGGAAAGGAAATAGGAATCAATTTACAGTACTGCCCAGTGATATAAGTTTGGTTGCTTTTAGTTTAGGGGGAGCTTTGTATATTTTCTTGATCTACTATAAAATGAGGAGATGTGTAGAGACTAATGACTTTATTAATTGGTGCCCCCTGGTAAGATCATGGCTTTTAAGGACAATTTGTTTTCACTTAGATAGGGAAAGTAATTTCAAGCCAATATTAAAGATCAAGAGATTCCAAGCACCCGCATTCTTCCTGAGAGCGGTTTTGTTAAGTGGTGAGGAGCAYGATGTCTACAGCTTGACATATTTATGTCCTTGGCTCTGTTCTCTCATGATCTCTGCATACTGTTTTCCTTTCTGCCTCGGACCACCAGCTCCTATTTGAATTTAGATACTCTGCAACAAGTGAGATAATTATGAGAAATGAGGTAGCAGAAGACCATAAGACCAGATATAATTAAAAAGATTCATATTTCTTGGAGGCACATTGGAAAAAAACCATAAATATGGTTAAATAAAAAGGAAGAAAATTGATTGATGAATAAGCATATCTGGAAAGAGAACTTTCATTGAATGGTTTAGCAAGAAGAAAGCCAACTAGGTTAGACTATAGAAATCAGGTAAAGCAAAATAGTGAAAGAAAGTTAAGTAAAATAAGAAAATTATAATAGTTTAATTAACATATATAGCCAAGCTAAATGATGTTGGGTAAATGAAAATCTAGCAAGTGAATTAAAGAGTTGACACTAGTTTGATTAGTATATTCAGCTATGCCTTCCTAATATCTATAAAAAGTGAATCTTATAAATGTTCATATGACACTATAGATTTTGTTCTCATTAAGATACTCAAGGTAAAGGCGTTAAACATAAACTGACCTAAGAAATGCACTTATTGCAACTTTACAAATTCATGAGAGTTACATTTATATTTTTGAGTTGCTTTAGATGTTGTGAATTCATCTGTGAACTTTGTACTGAGAGATGATTTATTTTATTATATCCAATTCTTGTGGTTTGACTTTTTTCATATTTTTCTCATTTTTATATATCAAATAAATTCTAAAGAAATACAAATGCCAAATATAGATATGTAGAAATGTATGAGTTTAGTTAATTATGAGAAGAGCTTAGGACTTCAACAATTTATAGAATATTTTAAATTCTTAGTATAATATATATCAAGTTTTCCAAACAGGTAAGGTATATGGGTTAACTAAACATGATAGCAAATTTATATTTGCTTACCTGTCAAAAATAATTTGGTAGTGCATGCATATATTTGCTTTAGGAAAAGGATTATACCATCTTTTTCCTAGTTTTCATATTAAGTGATCTGTATAGGTAATTGTAGGTCATGAAGCATATTAGTAACAAAGTAAAGACTCAAATTCTATCTTGTCTGACAGGTTCATATTGAACCAGTCTTGTTATAAAACAAATTTCTAGGACGTTTATGTTTTGATACTAAAAATATGAACAATTAGCATGCATATTTATGGACAACATCATGGCACTTTTTGTGCTGAAATAATAGAATATTATTTACCCAATATTCTGTGTCAAGTGTCAAAACATGGCCTAGTGTATAAATTAAATAAAAATGCTTTTCTTCAAGGTTTTGGGCACAATTTTGCATTTTATTTGGTTGTAATTGTTTATAATATTTCTTTTTATACTGGAATATCTTCCCTATAACAGTTAGACCTTAAGTTCAGAAGTATCAACTATTTACAGAATGTTCTTTTAGACCTCTGAGGCAAATTTTCTTGTAGAAATAATCCTTTGAAAAAATGTGTGGTCTAATTATCTTTGTAGGCATAATAAACCATTAATCCTTTTTTAAGGTTTTTTTTCTTTTTACTGAACTGTTGTATTATGATGTATAATATATATTATTTTCAACTTGTGATGTGTTCCATCTGAAAGTTTTGTCAAAAAATACTTTCTGATGGGGTTTATGCCATTTATTCTAAATTTTAGATGCTAGAGCATGCATGGTTGTTGACAAGAAACCTATAGAAAAAAAAATAAAAGAATGGCATCTGGTGATAGGTTAGCTATATTTAACATTTCACAAGTGAAAACAAGGTTTAGTAAATTAATGCTCCAGAACTCTGCAGCTGCTATTTCAATGATGGGTGATGCTGAAAGGGAAGTTCTAGTTGAAAATTCAGTTGAAAAGTTTCAGTATAGAATCTATTCCTGTCAGTTTAACAGTCTAAACCAACCCTTCATCTTAAGCCAACATTGCCTAACGAAAGATAGTTTTTATGACTAAGATTTTTAGTCCCACTGAAAGTGAAACATGGTTTCAGATTTTTTTCAGTTATCTTTAACATTAAAACAGTTGCTGAATCTAGATGTTTACTTATCTAAAGAGGTTTCATAAGGATCACCAAATGACCACAGAAAACCTAAGAGGAATCTCCTGTTGTTCTTTGAAGGCCTCCACAGAAAGCACAACCCATGCTTTGAATACCTGATAGTAACTTGACCACATATTAGGAAAACTTGTACTGGTACAGCCTATTAAACATTTTCTTTTTTTTTTTTTTGACTCATGTTTCTTTAATGCTCAGATGTTAATTGAGTTTTCTTTTTTCTTTGCTCTGAAGTAATTTTGTTTACCCTGCTGTTAAACTCATATCAATTTTGTCTGAACAAAAGCATATATATCTCTTTGGTGATACTTAGAGTGCTGCTTCATTTACCTTAATAMAAGAACTTTTGATGCTTCCAATGACATTTAGCTAATACATGTAAATACARGTTTTATTTATTTATTTTTATTTGTCTTTTTTCTCCTCACATATTTATAGTCTGAACCACAACTCGACTTAGCAAATCCACAGAGCTTGTTATGGTCCATTGCATCTATAATCTAAAAAATGCCTTCAGCCTGCCACAGGGAAGAAATAAACTARCCTCTCCTGTTTCTGAAGAGTATTAAGCACTTAAGTCATGATATTACTCACTCCTAGTAATTCTTTAGTCTTTCATACAGTTATATCAGGAATCTATATCAATTTTTTTCTCTGCATTGCTTAAAGCCCTAAAATAAAAATTACATGTTAAAAGTGTGGGTCAGTATAAGAACAAGCTGCAGTTGTTTAAGGTTTCCTTTCCTTTTTTTTTTTTTTTTTTGGTTTAAAAAGGTCAATTCTACACCCCTCAAAAAATTGTTTTTAATTTTATCTAAGTAACTTTTACATGTTGATTCTTTGATTAATCTATATGAATTGAGTTTTTATTGCTTTGAAAAGCACTTTTACTATTTTTACTGCTATCATTAAGGGAATAAAACACTGCTGACCCTATGATRCAAATTGGAAGGATATATTACCACTTGCACTTAATATTTTTTTATTTCATTAAACACTCTTTTCTTCCAATTGTGAGTTAAAATAACATTTTAACTTTGCTCAACTCTTATAGTCTGATTTTTGTATAATTTTTCCAAGATGTTTTATGTTTCCAATAAAACAAAGATGTTTAATTATACTTAATAATTTAGAAGATGTGTACAGTTTTTTTTTTTGCTAATTTTTTATTACATGGAAAATGTACCAATAATGGAAAGTCCCTCTTTCTACTACTTGATAGATATGTGTCAACTTTTTTGATGCAATAAAAAGAATTTTCCCTTTGGATTTCCATGATAAAGAATTTCTTGTCTGAACTTCTAACCTACTCAACTCAAGCTTGCAAACATGTCAGTACTTGTGTGAATACATCTTCAAATACATCTACAGCAACCTACTTAAGTATGTTCAAAGGAAAATGATAGCATCACCTAGTTAGATGATTTCCCCACATCCGTGCAGTTTTTATTTTAGAGGCTGCCCTGTCGTTTTCACAGGAAATGAGAACATTTTTGTTGAAATCCAGGTGTCAAAGTATTTACTTACTTTTCCAAAAAGACAAATAAATGTTAGTTAATAAGTATGTATAAAAGCTTCTTTACGATTTCACTTTTGGTGTTAGGTGCTAGTTGTTAACATATTTTTTTTATCACTTGAAAATGCAAATTTATAATACTCTCCAATATGCAACATAGGAGTGAAATTTTCTGATACTTTCTTGTTAGTATATGCTTTGTAGTCCATGGATCAAATAATGTCAAATTATTGAAGACGAGGTTCATAATTTTTTTTTGACAATAGAATTTTCTAAAAAATTTACTAGAGTCCTATAGTGATTTCTTCTAGTTAGTTTCAGGTATAAATAACTCCAAATATCTGCTGAGCCTGGTTCTTATGCTTTTAGTCTCCTCTAATTCTTCTGAACTCTCTCTCCTTTTCCTCAATTTAATGATAGCCATCCTTACTTCATTTGAGTCTATAGTCTTACATGGAAAGGCAATACCCTTTGTGTTGTTGAGATGTCTTCAATTTATAGTCACATCTCTCACTAATTGSGATACACAAACATTTGGGAGGTACAAATTACTAGACTCTCATATATTTCAGAATACACACCCAGATACAGTCCCTTTCATCCCAGCTTCTAACTTAGCTATGACTTAGCCTGACTTCATCTCTTTTAATGCTTTTCTAAAAGGAGAAACMAGCATAGTGCAACAAATAGACTCTTTTAATCAGTTTTCCAAGGCAACAAATTTATTAGATATAAGGCTCAACTTTCAAATTATGACAGGCAGATGATGCACTGTCTGCTCATGCCAAGGTTTGCCAATTTCTAGGAAGTGATCTGTATGCATTTTGTTTTCATTTTCTATCTTCTAAATATTTAGCATATGCATATAATTTATGTTTGTATAACATCTCACATTGTGACTAATTTATAGATTAGGTATTGGATAAGCTAAGCTTCCATAAAAAAGATTTCCTCAAAATTCAGTGGCCAAACAAATTGGAAGGGAAGTTTCTTTCTCTTTTATATGATCATGTCCATGATCCACTCATACCCCCCTTCTAGGAAACTTAACTCTTATGACCAAACCAAGCTGTACTTGGAGATGTTCTGGATGACCATCCATGACATGTAAAAGTTTGAAGGTTCAACACTAAAAGTCAGATGGGAGGAAAGGTCAATAAGGAAAAATAAGCTACCTCTGCCATATATAATCCAGTGCTATGTCAATTCATCTTCTCCTTTATCCATTTTACTTCCTGGGGTCCTAAGCTTAGAAGAAATTTTTCATATAAATTTAGTGCTATAGTTTTAATTTTTCTTCAAATATTGTAAAATATAAGTGTCTTGGATAACTACATATGTTTACTGTAAAGTTTATTCTTCTTAAGTACAATCYATGATCGAAATAAAAGTACATTCAAGTTATTTCTATTCTTCATAGCCAAACAACATTAAACAAAATAAATGACTATTTAGAAAAAACTAGTAGAATATTTCATTTTGTAAAATCAAGTGACTGCTGTATTTAATAGTTTGTTTTTTAGCACATTTTGATAAATGAAGTATTTTTTTTTTGCTCCACAAATGGGTGTATATACTATACATCTTTACAAAGCCATTGTAAATTTCTGCATGAAAGATTTTAAGAAATATACTCCACTTCCTATAAAACTTAATTGGTTGGTTTGATTACCACTAATAATTTAAGGTTAGTAGYATACCTGTTGACATTTCAAATGTTACTTTGCAAATGATGTAACCAGTTCTTGGATATGTTGTCATTAATGTTAAATCTTGCTTGTATTTCACATGCAGGAAGAATATTCTTCGTTTCTTAGATGCTGAACGAGATGTCTCAGTAGTCAAGAGCAGTTTTAAGCCTGGTGATGTCATTCACTATGTGCTTGACAGGCGCCGGACATTAAATATTTCTCACGATCTACATAGCCTCCTACCTGAAGTTTCGCCAATGAAAAACCGCAGGTTTAAGACTTGTGCAGTTGTTGGAAATTCTGGCATTCTGCTAGACAGTGAATGTGGAAAGGAGATTGACAGTCATGATTTTGTAATAAGGTGAGCTTCCTCATTTTACTTAATAATAAAAAAATGATGAAAAGTTGGAATTTAATATTAAGTATTACTGAGAACTCAAACATTTATCTAAAATGTTATTTTGTGTATTGTATCCTAACCTATATTTACCTTGGATAGAATATTAAAATGACTGTACTCATTTTAATGTTCARTGAGGTGATCTCATTGTAGCAATGATTCACAGCTTGGGGAGACAGAAAGCAAGTAACCATTTCATTAAATTTAAAACTAACATAATCACTCATATTTGTATTCATTAGTTTTGTATAAGTTCATTTATTGTATAAAGATTATGAACATTGCTCTGCCAAAGATTATGAACATTGCTCTGCAGTGATGAGATAGATGTAAGCTGTTTTTACTTTTTTATTTAGCGGATTCTAAGGATATAGTCATTATCAGGTTTATATTTGATATCCAAGTGAAATTGCTTCTTATTCATTATTTGCAGTATTTGTGTATGTTAGCATATTTTAGCTTTTGAGATTTCTCACATAATTGAACATGTCTGTTTGGTCTTCATTGGTGTTTATTAAATATTGGATGAATTATGGTTTACTTTTTATTAGCTGAAAAAAATTAACAGTAGATAAGTAATTATATCATAACTATTAGTAATTTTTAATTTTCAGTTGTTATATCCATATGGGTTTTGACTTGTTTTAGTTGTTTATAAAAATTATTGAGTGAAGGGCTGAGGTTTTGGCTCAGTGGTAGAGTGCTCACCTAGCACATGTGAGGCCCTAGGTTCAATCCTCAGCACCACATAAAAATAAGTAAATAAAATAAAAGCATTGTGTCCAACTACAACTAAAAAATTAATATTTAAAAAAATTATTGAGTGAAACATATAMATATATGCAAGAGTGTGGTATAAAGATATATAGTAAAATATGCTGAGCTGACAAATTGACAAATATTTGAATCCCTTTAAAATATGATGTGAAAATATAACTCTTAAAAATTTATATTTTTTTACTTAAAAATATAGTTATTAATTACATATGCACTGACCATAATTAGGCTACTACTTAAAAAAAAAAAACAGTAGTAGCTGTGAAACAATCCCATTGAGCATTATCAGGTGAGCACAATTTACAATAACAAACATGGCTGTGAACATTTTATTTCATTGTCTTCTCTGTCGATTGCCTGGTCAGATTCTGATTTGTAATGAGTTGGACATTTAAACATATAGACTCTTAAATTGAGTAGAAAAATTTCATCAACATGTAAATATGCAAAAAGAAATTGTATACAAAAAGGAGAAAGAATATTAGAAGAGGAAATGAAAATGGAAGTAGAACAAATGAGTTTCAAACATACATGTCTTTGTGGTAAGTGACAAAAATGTAAGACTTCGAGATTTCTGAAATGAAAAATATATCAGGGCAGCTAGAATAAAGAAGCAAAATTTTAAGGTACATTAGAAATTGCTGCAAAATAAAGAATGGTATTTTAAAATGTGATTATTACTGGATGAAAACGCTCAAAATGTGGCTCACTTCTTGCTCCTGTGTCTCTTTAAGCTTTGACAATGAGGCCTAGCTAAGCTTTTAGATTCAACCCTACTTCTGACTCTAGAATTAAGACTCTTATTATCTGTGGGCAATGAGAAGGGCCTGATGGAAGTTATCCTTTAATATCAGTTTATTAATATTATTTTCTACTCAGACTCCTTTACTTCAATTTCTATTGATTAGGTTCTTTGCATTGTTCCAATTCAAAAGTTATTGAGTTACCTATCTTTTTTTTTTTTGAGAGAGAGAGAGAGAATTTTTTAATATTTATTCTTTAGTTTTTCGGCGGACACAACATCTTTCTTTGTATGTGGTGCTGAGGATCTAACCTGGGCTGCACGCATGCCAGGCGAGYGTGCTACCGCTTGAGCCACATCCCCAGCCCAGCTACATATCTTTCATTTCATTAAATGTCTAGTGAATGGATTCCTATATTCTTTCTGGAATGCCCTAAGAATCACCAGTAACTGTCCTTATTTTGTAAGACAGTCTTTCATATTCATTTTTCCTGCATCTGTTTCCTAGAAGCTATACATTCTGCACTGTAGCTCACTTTCCTGAAGTTCGCTTTGACCAATCTGTAGGTTTCGAGACTCTTGGGTCCTCATCCATCTGTAAATAAAATTCTGATTCCCTGAATCATACAGGCCACTTCTTTTATTCTAAAATTAAGGATTTTTTTCTCTTTTGCTGGTAAGCAGGAACAGCAGACTACCTGTTATCAAGGTCCTCTACTGTGGACAACTGCAGATTTATATCACTATTAAGCTACTCTGGGGGCTCCTCCACCAAAATACTGAGGTTCTAGGCACTGGGATAATACAAACATATATACGTGTTCTCCCTTTAATTATCTAGTGTCTTTCTAGGATTAAAAAACCCTATATTCTGCTTTAAGTTAATAAACTCCACTCTAATTTTGAAATACTCTTTAATTATTCCTACAGCAATCATGCTCCAGTAAATACTCACTACACTGATCTACTTGTTTTAACTCTACACTCTGTGGCTCCTGTGTCTTTAATCTGCTAACTAATGGGTGGATGTGAGGGTATGTTGTTGATACCTGGGTAACTGGTCTCCATCAACACAGGACACAAGACGAATGCTTTAGAAGGACAAGGTGAAGAATACCTTTACCACTTCCTTTGTGGTAACCTCATTGAATCCACAGTGACATTTCAACATCACACTTTGTATGAAATATATATACTTTGCCTTCTTTCAGACTCCACATGAGTCTACTACTTATATAATCAAACTTTTAAAGGTAAAAATCTTTGCTTGCATATCTAGCAAAAATAAAGTAGTATAAAAAAAAAAACCACTTTGAAAACTTCAAGAATAATATTGAAATAGTTGATCAGCTAGTGTCTTTTCTTGCTAGGGGTTTCCAAAAGATTTCTCTTCCAAAAGAAAAAAAAGGCCTACCATGGACTAAAATGATAGTTACTATATATGAATATATGTCACAGGAAATACTTACAGTCTCAATTGATAATGAACTTATTTTTGTAATTTGTAATAAGAGTTATGAAGACCACAGTTTATAAATAAACCATTAGCTTTCTTAGATTTTTAATATATACTTATAGCTTTGGAATATTTTGYACATTTTCATATGTATTTCTGCAAATCTACACTGTACTAGAACCTATATTACATTGTTAATGATTTTGTTATATAAATCTTAACTTTACATGAAACTAGAAACTTTAGATCAGAGTAAAAGGTCAAGTGTAAAAAAGGCATATTTGGGGGAAGTTAGCACTTAAATTATTATGATGTGGGAAATAGCTTATATGGATTTCTTTCATGGTTTATATTCATATACACACCTGCACATCCCAGCCACATACAATATCTTTAGTTATTTTTATGTTAAATGTGCATGGAAGAAATTACAATTATCATTAAGATAGACTTGATCCTTTTCTCTGCTTAGTGTCATTGACAATATGTCAACCAATTTTACATATGTTACCTTCAAAATATATCCTGAATCTAATGATTTCTCATGAATTCTACTACTGCCCTAACATAACTTTTGCTTGGAACCTTGAAGTAGTCCATTAACTGATCAATCTGGTTGCATACTTGCCTGAAGCCAAAGTTTTCCTTGCCTGCATTATATGAAACAGTCTGCCACCATCACCATTGTGACCTTCCACTTGACCTTTGGAACTTTTCCATTCCACGGTTACCACTTCATTGCTTGTCTCCTCAACTAAAATATAAGAGARAAAAAAAACATTATTTGCATGGCTTCATTTTAGATTCAGTACCTGGAAAAGTACATGACACATTTGTATATTTTATACCATTTCTTTCTTTTTTATTTTTTTTACTTTTTCACCATTCTTCAAAAATAGAATTTGAGATTTTCTAGAAAAAAGTGCACACTAAGGATATGTAGCCCAAGTTTTTTTCTGAGTTTTCTTTTTTATTGGTTCTTTTAGTTATACATGAAAGTAGATTCCATTTTAATATGATTGTACAAGCATAGCATATATCTTATTTTAATAGGACCCCATTCTTATAGGTGTACACAATGATTAGATTCACTGTAATGTATTTATATATGTACATGGGAAAAATYTGTCAGATTAATTCCACTGTCTTTCCTATTCCCCTCTCCCTTCACCTCATTCCACTTTCTTAAAATATTGAACTTCTGTTCTTCCTCTCCTTACCCTTATTGTGGGTTAGCTTCCACATATCAGTGAAAACATTCAACCTTTGTTTTTTAGGGATTATCTTATTTCAGTTAGCATGGTAATCTCCAGATCCATCCATTTACTGGAAAATTTCATAAAAATCACACACACACACACACACACACACACACACATATATTATATTCATTCATTTATTGAAGGGCACCTATGTTGGAACCATAGCTTAGCTTTGTGAATTGTTCAGCTATAAACATTGATATGTTAGCATCATTGTAGTATGCTGATTTGAAAATCTTTGGATACATACTGAGGAGTAGTAGAGCTGGTTCAAATTGTGGTTCTACACCTAGTTTTTTGAGGAACTTCTGTACTTCTTTGGGGACTACAAATTGGTGCTGATTTTTTCCAAAAAAAAAAATGTGACTTTCTAGAAAATATTTTTGAAAAAATGTTCATTTTTTGAAAAAAAAATCTCTGCAGAAATACCATCCTCACTTTTAATAGCTAGTTGGGGAAATCACTCCTTTGGGTTTAATTTTATTATTTGTATTTTGGATCTGTATGATTATTTATTATATCCTATAGTACTCAGTAGTGGACATATTTGGTAGCTTTTCTCAATACTCATACCCTGAAAAATTTGTGTCTCTTTCCACTGAATGATGTAATAAGCAAAGTCTTAACACTTGGTTACCAATAGGTGTTTGGGGGGAAATTTAACTAGTACTTAAGAGTTATCATTCTACATGGGGAAAAAATTGAGATAAGTAATGCATGTCAA